TGTTTACGCTTGAGACTAATGTATTGTCTCTGCAGTGTAATGCATCTTCTGGCTGAGCTTTATTCACAGCCTGAAGCGTTACTTCCACTGAATTCTACCTCTTCGATTGACTTGAATGCGGACATGGCTCTGGACGAGCAACAACAGGATTTGGATGATTTATCTGTCTTAGCCCCCCGGCTTTGGCCTTTTATGCGGCATAATATTTCATCTGTGAGATATGCTGCTATTCGAACTCTGGTACGTTCTTCGCAAGATTTCGTAATTGCTGGTATAACTTCTGTGTTAGGAGCAATTACTGGAGTCGGGATCGACATGTTGGGCTCTACGCATCCTTGACGATATGCTGCGCATGGTCTTTCAGAATTTGCTTATGGAATCAAACGAAGAAATTCTGCAGTGTTCTGGGCGCGTCTGGCGTCTATTGATTCAGGTAGTACTTTTGTTTTCTGATTATAAATATTACTATTGTTTAACATATGCTTGCAGTGTTCACATTCGCATTTGCAACCATCGACGCTATCCTTCTTTCCAACGTGGCTGAAGCTTGCCAGCACCGCGGCTGGTGCTTCTTTGGAAGCCTCGAATATGTTTTCGCCCACGTCTCTACCAAAAGGAAGCCGTTCTAAAGTGGTGGCTAAGCTAAGTGCATCTAAACTTATAAGCCGAGGAGAGTCTCACTCGCATGGTCCAGAAGCCCAAAAACATTCTGACGTGGTTCCGAAAGTAGTTGTTGGTGCTGACGGAGAGAATTCTGCTGTATATATGAGGATTGCCACTACATCTGCCTTGGGAGTTTTGGCTGGGAACGTACCTGGTTCAATGCTGGACCTTATATTTCAGGCTCTAAACCAAGCTTTACATTCACCCTCAGGTATCCAGAGACAGGTGTGTATAGTTTATTCAAGGTTTTGTCGATCACCTTTCATTAATCTTTATTTCACAGGTCGCATCCATGGTTCTTATATCATGCTTCAAGGAAGTAAGATCCTTTCCTGTTGAGAAGAAGGCGCCGGTGATTTCTGCTTTTCGACCTCTAACATCATATTTACAAGTGCTCCTTTTACAAATTGAGCCTTCGCATCCGACTCCGGACTCTTCTTTGCCTTACGCGGAACTTTCGAGGACTTACGCTAAGATGAGGGCGGAAGTTGCCGCACTCGTTAAGCATGCTGAGGCTTCGAACTTTGGATTACCAGTGGACTTGCAACCAGTGGAAAACATGTCCGTAGAAGCTGCTATAGACGCTGCAATGAAGTTTATTCCTTTGGAGGAATGCAATGGAGCAGTTTCCGATGAGAAAACTTGCTCCGCTCGAGACATGATGGAGTCTGCTCGACAGCGTCTTCTTGCTACCGCAGGCTATCTAAAATGTGTTCAGGTAACTTTTGGTCACTATGTTGCATTCAGTTGCTGATGGCTATATTCTTGCCTCAGGTTAATCTGCATGGCACAGTTTTGGCTTTGATGGCTAGTGTGGTCGTATGGATGGGCGAGCTACCGTCGAAGCTGAATCCTATCATCCAACCTTTGATGGGCTCCGTCAAGCGTGAACAGGTGAATACGGAAGCTTCTTCAGAGTAATTTGCAACTTGTTTAATTGTTTTTATAGGAGGAAGTACTGCAGCAGTGCGCAGGAGAAGCTTTGGCAGAAGTGATTGGACACTGTGTTGGTCGGAAACCGTGTCCTAATGACAAGCTTATCAAAAACCTGTCTACCATGGCATGTGCTGATCAGCTTGAAACTCCATTGGCGACTGAAGCGAACTCGTCCTGGACCTTCGATGATGGTGACTATTCATTGAAATCTTCATCGACTGCGTTACGAAAGATGGAAGTTGCTTCCATTGACGACAAAGCAAAGGTTGAAGGAATAATTACGAGACGTGGTGCAGAACTGGCACTTAAGGCGCTTTGCCAGAGGTTTGGTGATTCTCTTTTCGAAAAGCTTCCGAGGCTCTGGGACTGCCTAACTGAAGTAATCAAGCCTTCCGATCCTGGTCATATTCATGATGCGTTTCTAGTAGAACCAGTTGCCGATCCTCAAGCGCTTGTTAACAACCTGCAGGTATGCTTATCTTTGTTTTCTCATTCCCTTTTCTCCTGATGACGCTCTAAACCAACCTGCAGCTTATACGCGTTACTGCTCCTTTCCTAAAAAATGCCATGCAATCGAGGATATTAACACTCCTCCCTGCAATATTTGGCTGCGTTCGACATCGTCATGCGGCTGTAAGGTGTGGTGCGTCAAGATGTATCACAGCGATGGCCCGAACCTTGAAAGAGACGATCATGACTGCTGTCCTAGCAAAAGCCATGCCAATGCTTACTGATGGTACATCTATGGAGGCAAGACAAGGAGCAGGGATGCTGGTGACGTTTCTTGTCGAAGGCATGGGAATGGAACTCGTAGGATACGCTCCGTTTCTCATCGTTCCGTTGCTGGGCTGCATGGGTGACAGCAACCAGGTTGTCAGGCAAAGCGTGACTCACAGTTTTGCCGCCTTGGTTCCACTTCTTCCACTTGCTCGAGGGGTACCACAGCCAGAAGGTATCTCCTCTCTAAGTAACTCAGACGATGCCAGGTTTTTGGAACAATTACTGGATAATAGTCGCGTCGACGACTATAAGCTGGCGTTTGATTTAAAAACTCCGCTACGCAGGTACTTGTCTCCTAGCTCGCTTTCGTTGGTTGTACTGACCGATGTCCTTTTAACCAGGTATCAACAAGAAGGTATCAACTGGCTAGCTTTCTTAAAGCGTTTTAAGCTCCATGGTGTTTTGTGCGATGACATGGGTCTGGGAAAGACCCTTCAAGCTTCTGCGATTGTTGCTTCAGATATGGCTGAGCGTATTGCTGCTGGCCAGGGGAAAGAGTCGACGTTATCTTTGATAGTATGCCCACCAACATTAGTGGGTCACTGGATATACGAGATTGAGAAGTTCATACCGGCCGAACTTCTGAAACCTTTGCAGTATGTGGGGCAACCTCAGGATCGGTTATACTTGCGCAATCAGTTCTCGGCTCACAGTATTATAATCACATCTTACGATGTGCTTCGAAAGGACATCGAGCATCTGAGCCAAATACAGTGGAACTTCTGCATCCTAGATGAAGGACACATCATCAAAAGCGGGAAGTCCAAAATCACTCTGGCTGTAAAGAGAATTCAAGCCGAGCACAGATTAATTCTCAGCGGTACTCCTATTCAGGTAAATGTCGACGCTGCTTCTTAAACGCAACTAATCCAAGCTCTGATTTCAGAACAATGTACTAGAACTATGGTCATTGTTTGATTTTCTTATGCCGGGTTTCCTTGGAACTGAACGCCAGGTTTAGCTGACGTATAATTGTTTTTCTTGTGTTTGACGGCATCTTGTTCCAGTTCCATGGTAGCTATGGGAAACCGTTGCAAGCTGCAAGAGATCCGAAATGTTCCGCGAAAGAAGCTGAGGCCGGGGTGTTAGCCATGGAGGCCTTGCACAAGCAGGTACATTTCGTCCTTGTCACTACGTTCGCTCATCCTGTTATAACTCAGGTCATGCCTTTTCTGTTGCGCCGGACAAAAGATGAAGTGCTAGCGGATTTACCTCCCAAAATTATTCAAGACCGTTACTGTGACTTGAGTCCGCTTCAGCTGAAACTTTATGAAAAGTTTGCCTTTTCTCAAGCCAAGAAGAATGTGGCCACCATGGTTGAGGCGTACGGTGGAAATGCTGATGACCGAGGAAACACGTCAGCTCCTACGCACGTCTTTCAGGTCTTTTTTTTATTGTGCTTCACTAGCGTGTAGTTGATCTTCTATTTTCTTTTTCTCAGGCTCTGCAATACCTGCGAAAAGTTTGCAGTCATCCTGTTCTTGTCCTAGACGGACCTCTGTCAGAGAACGTCAATGAGGAGAATGGCAGCATGGATATACATGATATTCAAAACTCGCCAAAGCTTCTGGCCTTGCGAGATATTCTCGAAGAATGTGGCATCGGTCAATGCAACGGCGATAATTCTACTGCCGGGGGACAACATCGTGTTTTGATCTTTGCACAACTAAAGGTAAAGGTAAATGAAGAGGCGTAAGTGCTTATCATCGATTTGGCAGGGTTTTCTTGACATTATTGAAAAGGATTTGTTTCAAACACACATGAAAAGGTTAGTGTGTTCTTTCAGCTCCGGCTAACTAGCGCTTGTTTTTATATTCAGTGTGACATACATGAGGCTCGATGGCTCCGTTGACGTTAGCAAGCGTTTTGAGATTGTGAAGGCTTTCAATTCTGATCCAACAATAGACGTGCTTCTTCTCACTACACATGGTACAGCGTCGGCATTTTACTTGTTCTCGGGGCCTGATGGTTATTCATTGTGAAGTGGGTGGCTTGGGATTAAACCTTACAGCAGCAGACACGGTTGTATTTATGGAGCATGACTGGAATCCTATGCGTGATTTACAGGTAACTTGATCAGAGATGCAACAGTGTCGATATCAATGTTCTTTCTACAGGCTATGGACAGATCTCACAGGCTTGGACAACGGCGGGTGGTTAACGTGCATAGACTGATAATGCGTGGAACTTTAGAGGAGAAGGTCATGAACCTTCAACGCTTCAAGCTTTCCATTGCGAACACGGTTATCAATGCGGACAACGCGAGCATTAGCAGTATGGACACAGGCCAGCTTCTCGACTTGTTTACCTTTGACGGGAAGAAGGTATCCAGACACACAGGCTTCCAGTCACTGACTACTAACATCTCTGGTTTGTATATGTCCAGGCTAATGTCCCAGGTACGAGCAAGGATAAGGAGGAAGAGGCTGCAGGATCGAGTGGCTCGAAAGGCGGCAAAGGACTCAAGTCGATGCTAAGCTCTTTGGAGGATCTCTGGGACCAGTCACTATACCACGAGGAGTATAATCTTGGTCAGTTCGTCTCTCGCCTCAAGTGATGGCTGCGGACGGCGATAAAATGCGTCACAACATTTTGTTTTTGTGATCTGTAAGTTCCCGGGATAGGTAGGATGTAGGAAGCATTTGTAAATAATTCAAGTGTCTCACAGTTGCAGAGGTACGCAAGTCTTTGAACAAGCATTTTGTTCAAAGCCTTATCAAACTCCAAAGAACTAAATTTTTATCGGTGTTCTTGGCCTCTCAGCTGTGCATAGCTTACTCCAAGCCGGGGTCATCTTTCGAGGTACTTCAGTCGTTTATATCTTCCTCTGGCAATTCAGAGGCATCTATGGCTAACTTTCCTCGCTTGACTCCGAAATCCCAGGTGATGCTTCTCGGTGGCGGCGGAGGCGAAGAGTACTTGTAGGCATGAGGAGGTGGCACTTGAACAGGAGACTTGGCAGGAACAGGTGGTGGAGATCGATTATGATACGTAGGTGGTGGTGGAGGAGAGTGGTAGAAAAGTGGAGGTGGAAGCTTTGTAACAGGCCCAGGTGATGATTTTGGAGGTGGCGGCTTGCTACTTGGTGGTGGCGATGGCTTCTTAGGTGCCATTGGAGGCGGATACTTGTGAGAAGTTACAGGAGGTGGTGGTAATGGCTTCTGAGGTGCCATTGGAGGCGGATACTTGTGAGAAGTTACAGGAGGTGGTGAAGGATGGATCTGCGGAGGTGGAGTTTTGCGGAAGTAGATTGGAGCCGGAGGTGGATGATGGTATTTCACAGGAGCTGGAGGTGGTGGGGGTGGGGACTTGTAAATGTATGGATTGAACGGCGACTTAGAAACTGGAGGAGCAACTGGTCGTGGAGATGGTGGTGGCGGATGGTGAGAAACAGGCGGAGGAGTGTGAGAATGGTAGCTGGGAACGCTTGGCGGGGGTGGATGATGGTTTGGGACGTGCTTGAACGGTGGCGGTGGTGACGAGTACTTGTAAACTGGCGGAGGAGGAAGAGGAGGAGCAGCGGCGGTTTTGCAAGCTCCCGGACGTTTGAGAGGCCGGCACGCGAAGGGACCGGAAGTAAACACGACCTCTCGCAGGGATTTGTGGACGAGTAGAAGCGGAGCTCCCGTGTGACCATCTCCCATGGAGCTCACCTCATCGCAGTCGCCGGTGCTTGGGCCTCGCAGAAGCTTGGCTTTGCATCCCTTAACGCCGAAGATGGCTGGAATCTCGTCCATGGGAATGGTGAAGACGCCGTGAGTGTTGGTGTATCCAACGCCGGAGAAGGTCACGAATCCATACAGGTCCACGCATTTGATGCCTACCTCGGCGTCTGCTCGACACAAGAACGAAGAACTTCTCTCAAACTTCTACCAAAGATGGTTTTCTTGCGTACCATGGAGAGGGAGGCTCATGTTGCCAACACGTCCGTGCCAGCATCGATCACAGACAACATGGCCTTTGACGAGAATTTTCGGCTTCTTCATCTGGAACTCGAAGTCGTCGTTTGGATCGAACGCCTCGTTTTCAGCTTCTACTTCTTGTCCCAGAACCGGAAGTGCTGCTGCTGCTAGCACCACCATCGCTACAAGCAGCAGCAGCGGGACCTTCTCCATCGCCAAACCTGGAAGTTCTTTGCTGGCTACATTGAAATATACAGAAGAACCAGAGCGCGTTGGTAGCAGCTTTGCAGAGGAATTTATCGTGTCTGGAGTTTCAGGTATCTTTTGGAGCTATCTGTGTCTGACTGTCGACTCATGACTGCCGACTCACGGGGCGCTCGTCCTCGGACAGAATGATTACCAGGTTTGCAAAACAAAAGCCTTAAAAATCATGTTTTGATTGAAAGAGTTCTTACGACTGACTACGCGTTGAGATGATTGCCAGATACAGGCGAAGGAGAAAAGAAAACTAGCGATCAATCCCATGCCATGTTCAGTATGGCGTTGGCAACACCTGCTTCATCGATGGTGATGCTGGGATCGTACTCGAGAGACCTCCCACCAGGAATGGTGAGCGTGAGGCGAAACTTTCTGCCGCTGGCGGCCTCCTCCACGTTCAAGCAGCAATACGACCAGAGGTACTGCTCATACACGATACGACCAACATGAGAAGCGAGAAAGGAAGAACATCGCTGGTTTTCCACTTACAGTTAGTGGATCGGATCGAAAGTACCTCCGCTGGCCCCTCTTGCCATCGGGAAAACGCACTCCAACGCGGCAAGTTTCTGGCTCTTCGGGCTTGGGCTCGTCCGGCAGCGCTGGATGCTTGCTGCCGCGGGCCTTGACATGCTCCGCCGCCGAAGAAGGCTCGGTTTGGCTCTCCAACGAAGCTGCCAAGGCCCGCTGGAGTTCCTTGTCTTCGTCGGTATCAGCCGGGCCTGCCAAGAACAAAGTGAAAAGATTGCTGGCAACTCAGCGTCGAGCTCTACCTTGATCCAGCTGCTGTTGTGGTTGCTGCTGCTGCTGCTGCTGTTGCTGTTGCTGTTGCTGTTGTTCCACATCTCGTGGTCGCTTTTGAGTGTGGTTCTCCATGGGACCTCTATCCATGAATTGGACAAGATCCTGAAAGTGTTGTAAGTCTCTATAGAAAACTCTCTATAGAAAGTGGTGAATAAAACATATACCTCGAGCAGTCTCTCCGCGCCTACCATACCCTCCCAGGATCTCATCTTCTGGCCAGTTAAAGGATCCAGCACCAGAATGGTAGGCATGGTATTCAAGCGGTAGTACGTGCACACCTTCTTTCCTTCCTCGGTGTCATCGTAGATCTAAAACCAGCAAAGAAGAAGTGAGGCCACGAATGCTATCAAACATCACAAATACCTGCCAGAAGACGAAGGTTATCCTCACCGTGTCCTTGACGGCCTCGTGTGCCCAGGTGTCTCTGTTCAGCTACACAGAAAGCATCAGCTCGTAGATGAGAAAACACAGTTTGCAAGCTTACTTGTGGAGCTATAATCATACCATATGACTCGCAAACTCTGTATGGGATTGCAAGTTGATGAGCAACCATTTTCCTTGCTTGGCTGCTTCTGCTTTCGCCTAAACATGCGGAGAAAGATGGTCTCGTCTGGGAAAAGTGGCGTCCTTCGTACCTGTTCGAAGCTTCCCTCGAAGTTGAGCTCCAGTGGCGGACGGTACAGGGACGCAAGCGTTGGAGCTTTGGCACCCACGGGAGAGCTCCCAGGGGAGGGCTTGGCGATTCTGGAGTTAAACTCGTCCTCGAAGTTCCGGAAAGCATCCACAGGAGTCGGCTGGACGGGACCTGCTTGCGCCCTTCTTTGTGCTCTGGAAAACCATCCAAAGAGAATGAGAAAAGGAGATGGTGATCTTCGTTTTCTTACCTGTATTGGAAGATATCCTCGTACAAGGCCTCGCGTTTCACAGGCAGTGGTGGACGAACGTAGTCATCTCCCCCACTGAGAGGAAAAAAATCCTTTCTTTTCATCCAGGAACGAGAAAGAACGAAGGAAAACTCTCACCTTGGAGAAGGGAGCACTACTGGAGGTGGCTCCGCATGGACAGGCTTGCTCATTGGCGGGGGCTCCGCTGCTAAAGGCGGAGCTCCAATCTCGACACCTCCGCCAGCGAAAAAGAGCTGAATCGCTTCCTCGAGCTGCCAGTTCGTCGCCTACACAAAATCACTCGGCATTTCCTTCAAGAAGAGCGATCAGGGAGGGATCAAACCTCGAGGAACTGGTGGCAGCGATCGGCAGGCTCGCCTACCACCTCCATGAACTGCGCCAGCAACAGCTGCTTGTCTTCCATGGCGCTCAATCCAAATTGCCCTAGCTAGCTAGCCCTAAAGGTACTCTTTTAATCGGCCATTTTAAGTTAACTTAAGAAAGTTTAAAGGAGGAGAAAAGACTTGTACAACCAAATGAAATTCTAGACACTTGAAGGCAACCGGATCATCATCTGGCCCTCCGCCACACTGTCACAAACAAAGAAATCGTAAATTTCATGGAAAAAATGGCTTTTTTCTTCTTTTGATCCATACCTCTTTACGTAGTAGTAGCAGAAATCGGCAAGGATGAATGTCTGGACAATCTCGGCGACCACAACCATGGCAGGCCACAAGCCATAAGGAATCAAGCTCCGGTGTTTGAGCTGCGTTCCCAGCGTGTAGAAGAGGTAGCCACGTCCATCTATCAGCTGCAAAAGGAGAAGAAAAATGCGTTTTTTTACATGACCTTCCTCTTGTCTTGCAATGAGATTCATACCTGGAGCAGCCAATGCGCACAGTTGATAAATCTTGCAACCCCAAGGGCGAAAACGTAGAGCGCAGTAAAGGGTTCTATAAGCTGTGGATCAAATCCAAGATAAGTGAGCGAAGAAACATAGAGAATTGGCCTACCTTAGCCTTTTGCATCACCCGAAGCTGAGGCAGCACGGAGACGGCCTCCAAATACACACAAAACGCCCACAAAACTCTGTTGATAAGGTGGTACCGGATGAGAGGATGAACCAGGATAGCGAGCACTGCGCATGGAGCCAGCTGAAAGGAAAACCAAAAAGGAGTGATAGAACTCAAGTCCCGGACGAGAAAAACAAAGCTTACCACATAGTAGAGTGGCATGTTATCGAGTTCCTGGACATAAGTTGCCTTGAGATTGGTCCGGATCATATAAATCACCCAGGCCGTGACGAGGAGCGTGGCCGTGTCGAGGAAAGTGTGGATGTTTTGCTCCATGAAAGTGGAGCAGTAGAGCCGGACGAGAAGAAAAATCGCTGTAAGCTCCTGCGATCGCAAAGACACACCTAAGAAACACGAGAAACACACACTTGTAAGAAAGTTATTTAAGTGATTTGACGCGGCCCTAGCTGTAGCTAATGAGCGATCGAATCGATCGATCGCTCCATGGATCCTTACCGGCGCAATTCTTCTCCTTCTGGAGCTTGTAGATGAGAATGACGATCCCCAGGGCGTGGACGCACTCGGAGGCGACGAAGAGGGTGTCGTGATCCTTGACGACATACCTGAGGAAGACGATCCCAATCACTGCCGCCAGCGCCAGGAGCGCGGCCTTGACGCGGGGATTCTGGCGCTGGATCCTCCAGACGAGCGCCTGGATGGGATTCTTGGGCCGCCGCGCGCTCCCCATGCCGAATCTATTCCTCGCTCCTCCCTCGCCCAAAAGAGTTTAAAACTCCAGTTAATAAGCTCCGTACGAGCCTAGGGTTTTGTTCCGGGGATCGCTGACGTGGCTGATCTAATCAGTGACGTGGCAGATCCAAGGGTCGCGGCTGTTCCGGGGATATACATTGCTGGAGAAAACTATGGCGAAGCATTGCTAGAGTTTGGGAGGACAGGAGAAATGGTGCGACCCGCAAGAACAGCGTCGACAAGCCCCTCTTTGATGCGCCGGCGGAGGCGGCGCCGAGGGCGAGGAGTAAGATCACCCAATCGTCCAGTGGAACTTGACTCAAAAATCTCTTTTTTCGCAGAGGCGTAGACGCGGAAGGCACAGGAGAAGATCGGCCTCCACGAACACTGGGACGCGAAGCGATCAGGGCTAGGAAAACACACAAGCTCCTCGTCTCGTCACTCCAAATCCAATGCCACTCCACCAACAACACGAATCCAATCCTCCCATGATGTTCTTCGCCAAATCGATGTAAATAAAAAGCGCGAATTCGAAAGCAATGATCCAGCACAAGAAGTTCTCCACTTGCATTGTTCTTCTCTCCAAAATCTAAGTTTCTGGAAGGAACAGCGGACATCTCTCGATCTATCTCATAGCGTGTGAGGCTTCCTCGAACCAAAAAGCCAGTTTTTCTAATCGGTGCCAACCTTTCAGATTCTTTTCGCTCTCCAATTCCGCGGGAGAGGAAACGAAATGGTGGAATTTGGAGCGAACTCTCGTTCTCTCGAGACTGCAAAACAATACAAAGGTTTCCTGGAATTCCAAAAGCTTGGTCTTCGTTTAGGGTGGAAATGGCGGCAGTGCGCAGAATCTGTGCGACCGCTGGTAAGACGAGCGTGAGTGGTTTCTTGGGCACATCAAAGATCGCCACGAGCACCGAATGGCGGCCTCTCACTTGCTGGATTCACGCGACGCGGACGAGCAGCAGCCAGTTTCGGACAAGTTTCCAGGGAAGCAAGCTCAAGATCCCAGCCGAGTTGCAGCCCGCCGTGCGAGAATGGAACCGGCTTGTGAATCGCTTCTCGCAGCGCTGGAGATACTCCAGCCTCGGCCGCTTGCCAGGGTAACAAAGATCGTTTTTTTCCTATGCTATGATCTTCTATGATCTTCTTCGAGGGTGATGTTTATTTTTCTTGGAACTCTATCAGGGGTGGAGGATACGCTCGACCCGATGTTGCTTTGTGGACTTTGATCGGTGCCAACGTTTCGGTGTTCTTCCTGTGGAAGGTTTTCGACCCGGTTTTCATGACCGAGCATTTCACGGTCGGTTTCTTTCTCTCTTTTTCTTTTGCTAGAAATTCTCTCGTGACAATTGTGACACTCAGATCTCCATGCACAACGTGTTGAGTGGCCGACTCCACACTCTCGTCACAAACTTCTTCAGCCACAACGAGTTCTGGCACTTGGCATCCAACTTACTCGGCCTATACTTTTTTGGCACCGAGGTCTTGTGATCTCTCCTGTTCTCTTTCGATCCGGATCTTCGCTCTCTCTCGCGTGCTCACTCCGCTTCGCAGATCGCTTATAGATTCGGCAGCAAAAGGCTCTACATGATCTACTTTGCGGGTGGCCTCGTTAGCTCCTTCGGACACTTGGCTTATAGCTATTACATCTATCCCTGGCTCAAGGTTCGATAAAAGCGCAGCGATTCTTCTTCTGGATCCTCGTATCGTCATTCACATTTTTTGGTTTTCCCAGGGGCTTCGTCACAGCACCTTTGTGGCCCGATTTGTCCCACCAGCGCTGGTGAGTCGAGAGAAAAGCGTGATCTTCCTCTATCTCTCGCGTGCTGTTTGATGCGCGACACGTTTTTTCCACAGGGCGCCAGTGGAGCCATCAACGCGCTGGTGGTCCTCAACATCATGCTCAATCCAACGCGCGTCATCTTGGTCGATTTCCTCTTCCCAGTCCCAGCTGCCCTGTTTGTAAGCGATCGATCTTTCCTAAGTTTTTGTTTTTCCCATTCCAATGCTGTGAGAATTTGACGCGATCGCTCACTCCACAGGGAGCTTACATGATCCTCAAGGATTTGTGGGGAGTTTCCGATGTAAGTTCTCTTGCGTGGTTTCTTCCAAAGTTTTGGGAAGCGTTCTCTAATGGCTTGCTTGTTTGTCTGCTTGCCAGGTGGCATCCACCATAAGCCACGTAGGCCATCTGGGCGGCGCGGTGGTCGGTGCCGTGGCGTGGGTGAGACTACGACGTCACTGGTAACTTCTAGTGGTAAAAGCACTTTCCACGTTTCTCTTCCACGCGCGCGCTTTTGACCGCGAATGATGGTTGACCCCCCGCCGACTGTTGACCGGTCAAGCCACGCGGGATATTCCTTTACTGCCCTTTTTCCGTGTATATGAGAGAGAGGGCTTTCTTGTGGCCTAATCGGAAAAGGAAGAGACACAATGGCGCTAGCAGGGAGACGAGCAATGCCCCAGATCTCTGGGATAGCTAACAGGTTGTCCGGGATGGGCCACTGCCAGAAGAAGAAGACGATCGTGGATCCGCTTCCACTGCCACCGATCTCGCAGGAGGATCACCACCAAGGTTTGATGCCGGAGATTTGCAAGGCGATGGAGGAGGAGCCGCGGAAGCAGCGAGAGCTCAATTTGGTGTTGCTGGGGAGGCCGGGAGCCGGCAAGGGGACGTTTGGGATCAAGCTCGCGGCGCTGCTCGACGTTCCTCACATCTCCACTGGCGATTTGATCCGCGAGGAGATGAAGAAGGTGAGCTCCATGTCCCGGCGCATCGCCGAGGTTGTGAGCAAGGGGAAGCTCCTGGGCGACGAGGAGGTGTTCGAATTGCTCCACTCGCGGCTCCAGGCGGGGGCTGCCAGGGGCGACAAGGGATTCATCCTGGACGGATTCCCCAGGACGGTGAACCAGGCGATCGTGCTAGACAAGATAGCGGACGTTCACGTAGCTGTGAACTTCGCCCAGGAGCGCGAGGTGTTGATCCAGAAGTGCCTGGGCCGGAGGGTGTGTGGAGAGTGTGGGCGAGTGTTCAGCATGGCCGATGTTTCAGTGGGCGATCTGAGGATGCCAGCGATTCCTCCGCCGATCCAGTGCCTGGACAAGATGGTGACGAGGAAGGACGATTCCGAGCAGAGCATCCAGAAGAGGCTCCAGGTTTACGACGAGGAGAGCAAACCAGTGGAGGATTTCTACCGCAAGCAGGGGAAGCTGGTCAATTTTGATGTTCGCGGGGGCGTGAGCGAGAGCTGGCCCAAGCTGCTCCAGGCCTTGAATCTGGTGGAAGAACAGCAGAGATCTAGCTCAAGAACACCGCCACCAGCAATTCCAACGGTTTGGTGTTGACGGGAAATCGTCGCGTTCCCTCCTATTCTTCCAAGTCTTGGCCGCTAACCCGACACGCGAGTATTCTTTTTTAACAACGATTTTCCATTGTAACGTCACTTGACGATGAGGAAAGAATTTTGCAAGTAGTGCACAACACGGATTTGATTGAGTATTGAAACTTTCCACGCTCTTTAACATGTGCAATGTCATAGCGTTGCGACAAAGGGCACGTTTCGTGTCATAAAAAGGTGGTAAAAAGGTGGTAGGGCTTGGGCAAAAAGGTGGTAGGGTAAAGATAGGTACGCATGAAAAAAAGGTGGCAGGATAAAGGTAGGTACGCATGAAAAAAAGGTGGTAGGGTTACTAAAACCAACTTGTGATTGGTAGAAAAAAAAGGTGGTTGTAAATTACAAGAACAAAGAAAACGATCAAACTTTCAAGCTCGGACAAGTAGCTACTGGCGAACAAAACCAAAATTCTTGTACAGCGGCTAACAAACACAGCAAAGAAAAGAGGTGAGAGATTTGCAAGTCGGCCTGGAGGTGATTTGCGAGACCGAGTCGCTTGAACGAGTCCGTGGCGTTTGGAGAGAAGCTCCGGTCGGTGGCTGCTGGACTGCTCGAAGATGGCTCGTCTCTCGCGGCAGAGCTTCGGTCTCCGTCGGGGCTCCGGCCTTGGTATTGATCGTCGCCGGCGGAGTCCCCGCTTCCACCACTCCCAGGGGATGGGATTGGACGAGCGTCGGGAACGCCTTCCACTCCCACTCTCCTCAAATGGAGCTGCGAGGCAAAGTTACGAGGATCAGGGGAAAAGACGAGATCGCTGCTACCTGTACGTGAAGTGAAACTTCGGCTGCTCGAGAGAGGAAGGGGAAATCTCCACCGGACTTTAGCATGGCTCTTCGGGCGGTGGGATATCTGGCAGCCACTTGGTCCTTGAGAGACTGCGGGATGGCACAGTAGTCATTCGTCTGTAAGTTAAGCTTTAGTAAATGTCTCGAAAGGCGGGAATGCTTACGTCCATGATGGTGATGCACGAGTCCGGGAGTGTGATCTGGCCTACTGCAGCAGGAGACGTGTTGAGTGTCAAGCGTGATGCGAGATCTTCGCGGGAAAGGGTCTCGAACTGTCGGGAATCGAAACGTAGGATATGAAGTTCCTCAAAATGAGGCACATACCTGGGAGACCACGAAATCTATTGAATCGGCAATGAGAGGTTCTTGCGGCCCCTCATGAATTCCTGAGAGGATGTATCGCTTTAGCATGAACTCGGGCGTCCAACTTATCCTGTAAGAAGCGAAGTCTTTGATCAAAAACAGCAGAAAGTTCTTACTCACAATGGTTTCCAAGAAGTTTTTGAAGCAAAAGTGTGTGTTTCCAAGAACGTATTTGAGAGAAGTAGCGATTTTACTCTCCTCGGACGCTGCTGAGCAAATAGCTGCGACAAATACCCACCGAGAGAAGTACCATACAAGTGAACCTTAACAAAAACCAAAGAGAGAAACATTAGAAAAATTCCGGAAGCACACCTTGTATCATACTTACATGGTGTGCACCAATTTGATCCAAAAACTTCTCGAACGAAGCGATCCATTCCTGGTGACTCCACACGGGAGGAGCATCAGCAGCAATTACGTGATAGCCCTGAAAGAAGAATCGAAAAATACGTTTACAACGTCTCTAAACAACAAAATGCATGAACAAAAGGAAGAAGAACGAAGGAAGAGCAATACCTTGGCGGAGAGGGAGAGAATAATCTTGTAGAAGACCTCGGCAGTGGAGGAAGTCCCTCCCAGGCACACCAAAGGCGGCAAGAGCTTTGGTCCCGACTGGTAGTACCGCCAGTGCTTGTTTCCCACCTGTGAGAGGAGATTTCGATCGAGAATCATGGATGAATAGGGATGGAGTGATCGATCGATTGCGTACCCAGATATGTCGCAGAGGGACGTGAGCCTTGAAATGGAGGAAATCGCCAGGAGCAGCTGTTGTGACATCAGTGCCGGCGAGAAGATCGTGGCGCAGCATGCCCTGCATTCCAGACGCTCCACCTCCCAGCTCCGCCACGCATCAAAACCAAAACCTAGGCCCAGAGCGATGCGTCGCATATTCTCTGCTCGTTTTTTTTAATCTCCACCATGGTGGGCGAGAAGGATCGACTCGCCCAGGCAGTGAGGAGCTGCATCGATGCCCGGGATCTCTTGCGCGGGAGAGAAGCCCACGCCGCTATCATCCACAGCCGCCACAGCTCCAACACCTTCCTCGCCAATCTCCTCGTCCTCATGTATGGACGCTGCAATCGCCCAGCGGAGGCATTCCAAGTTTTCGAGTCCACCCCGCAACGCAATTCTTATTCCTGGAACATCTTGCTTCAGTCATTCTCAGAGAACCGAGACCTTGTTTCCGCCACTGCCACATTCTTTAGAATGCCACAACACGACACAGTCGTGTGGAACGCTTTTCTCTCAGCAAATGCCCAAGCTGGGCATCTTGAGGAAGCCGAAAAACTCTTCAACGTTTTGCTTGAGAAAGGCCAAAGGTCCATATCAGATCATATCACTAGCTCTAACTCCAGTGCCCTAACAACTTATGGCAATTATTCGTATGACAGTCTAGATTGTTACAATGAGCGTTCTTGGAACACTATGATCTCAGCATATGCCCAGTCTGGTCATTTTGATCGTGCTAAAAGCTTGTTCGATGAGATGCCACGCGGACGTGGCTTAGTGACGTGGAATATTATACTCTTTGGCTACGCACGAGAGGGACAGCTGGCTGGTGCCCGCGCCACGTTCCACAAGATGCCTCTCGTAAGCATAGTGACATGGACGAGCCTCATGTCGGGACTGGCCGCCAACGGTCACCTGGACGAGGCCAAGCAGGAGTTTGACTCCATGCCGGAGAGAAACGTAGTGACGTGGACGGCTCTCTTTCAAGCGCTAGCTGACGCGGCGAGCCACCTCGGCACAGCCAGGCTTGTCTTTGCAAAAATGCCACAGCGACACACGGTGACGTGGAATGCCCTCTTCCACGCCCTTGTCCGCGATGGCAGCCTCGCCGACGCCAAGGAGGCGTTTGATGCGATGCCCGAGAGGGACGTGATTGCTAAGACCCTGATGATCGCGGCCTACTCGCAAGCCGGGATGATCCAGCAAGCAAAGCTGGTCTTCGATTCCATCCAGCGCGACGAGCACGACATGCTCTCGCAAACCGAGATGATCAAATGCTACGTCCAGCACGGGATTCTCGAGGAGGCTCAAAACATTATGGATTCGATGCAGCATTTGGACGTTGTGATCCAGACTTTGATGATCTCTGCATATGCCGAGAGAGGGCATTTGCTAGAATCCAGAAAACTCTTCGATTCGATGGAGTTCAGGGACATTCTAGCTTGGAATATCATGGTCACTGGATACGCTCGCCACGAGAAGCTTGTCGAGGCTAGAGATCTCTTCCAGAAAATGCCAGCCACAGATCTTATAGCCTGGAACGCCATGATCGCAGTGAATGCCCAAAAGGGGCATCTGGACGAAGCGCGTTGGATCTTCGACACAATGCCTGCTCGCGACACCATCTCCTGGAACGCAATGCTCACTGGCTACAGCGTCGATAGGAAGAGGGCAATGGGCTTCTTCCAGATCATGAGCCACGAAGGCTGGGAGATCGACGAGGTCGCAGCCACGATCGTCCTGGCAGCGCGCAGCCACTTGGGAATGGTGGAGGAGAGCCGGAGCTTCTTCCTGTCCATGGCGAGCGACTATGGAATCGAGGCGACGAGGGAGCAGTATCGATGCATGGTGGACGCTCTCGGTCGATCGGGCCGGCTTGACGACGCACAGGAGCTCGTAGAAACCATGCCTTTTCTTCCCGAGGCCGTCTCGTGGAAGACGATGCTCAGCGCTTGCAAGCTCCACCGCGAGGCCGAGCTCGCAGCTCGAGCAGCCGAGAACGCATCGGAGCTAGAGCCGGGGAATTCAGCACCTTACATGATGCTCGCCAGCATCGTCTCGTAGCAACTTTCTTTCCCTTGCAAAGAATCAAAACTTACAGATGGATTGGAGAGCTTCCCGAAAGAATGGATGATGGATCAAGCCGCCGTGTTGATCTTGTGCGTGACGATGATGTGGAGCAAAAACTCGTTCCACGTATCGACAGGTCCAGGCATGCACCAGTGGAGACAGTCCTGCGCCGCCACCTTGCCGCTGGGATCTTTGCTTCGAAACGATCCCGGGTGCCCGTCTGCCCGGTACTCAAACACCCGAGTCACGTCCATGAGCACGAGCCTGGCTCCTCCTCCGCTCGCGTTCCTCTTCGCCTCCGCGAACGCCTCGAGTTGGATCCGCCTCATCTCGCTCGTGAAGACGCTGCTGCCAATCCTTTTCACCTCGTTGTCCGTGAGAGGCTTCGTGATCCCCGTGCACGACCCTCCCGTGTTCCACGACCCCCCGATGTAGTGATCCGGCGAGAACGTCCGAAAAACCGTGAGTCCCTTGTAGTTCCGGCTGGCGGCGATGGCGGTGAGGGCCGTGGTCATGGACGCTGCGAAGGCTTTGCTGGTGGTCATGGTCGCGTTCGGCCTGTGCCACCCCTGAGTTCCCACCACCTGGCCACCCCGCATGAACGCCGACTTCTTCACGAACCAGTGGCCGGACGAGATGACGAGCACGTCCACGCTGGGAAGGAAGTCCATGAAGTTGGCGTCGGGTTGATCGATGTGAATTCTCGTTGCGCTCTTCACCGAGGCGTCGCCGGGTGTGGATTTCACCAGCCATGACGACCAGATCCGGACGATGGTGACCTTGCTCGAGCGGAAAAACCAGCGTTGCATCCTCTTATTGCCTTTGTTCACGGGGTTCTCCACCTGGTGTGGTAATCGAAGCTCACAGTTAGTCCGCGATCGAGAGAAAGAGAGGAAAAAAAACCATCTAGCATCTACTACTCCGATCAGGAAAAAGAGTACCTACATTGATCGCGATCGAGACTGGCTACCTAGGAGAGCAAGCAAATGAGAACTAGCTAGATCAATCCAGGAAAGCGAGAAGCAAGAAGAGCTAGAACGATCCTCTTACCTGCATTAGGATACACATGAGCGATTCCATCTGGTTCCTGGCCACGGAATCGCCCACGAATCCCAGGACCTTGCCTCGCATGATGCGCAAGAACTCGGTGGCGTTGAAGCGCGCAAGGCCGCAGCCATCGGGCACCCATCTCCAAGACTCGTAATCTCTGTCCGGCCTTCCATTCCCTTGACAGTTCTGTGCCTGCGAAAGAATGGGGCACGCATCGTTGCGGTACAGGGGACCGCGCGGATCCGGCATCCACTTGCCTGTGTAGAGATCGCACACTCGCGCCTCGCGATCGATGGAATCCCCTCCTCCTCCTCCTCCTCCTCTTCCTCCTCCTCCTCGAGCTGGCACCGAAATATTTTGAGCAAGATTTGGCACCGATCGGCTACCTGGATCGCTCGGTGGCGCGGCGGTGGAGAGATTCCCAGGCGATTGAGCGATCGGCGCGTAGGGATGGATGAGGAGGAGCTCCAGCGGCGGTGAGAATCCCAGTCCCAGGTTTGGGATCGTGAGAGCTGCCAAGAAGACGAGCGCGGCGGCGAGGAGGACGCAGATTGACGATGGCAGGAGGCCGGAGAAAGGGAGGAGGAGAAACCTTTTGGCGGAATCCTTCATCGCTCACGCAGTAGCTCTTCCCATTTTGGCTGGAGCAATGAAATAGAGCCAAGAACAAAGCCCCCCCGTTAAACGGGAAATTTCGAAAGCGCTACCTCTAGGGTTTCTCGCCGGGGATGGTGCCGCTGGAGCTCAAGGTCGCTGGATTCGCGCGGCGGCGCCGGGTGATCCAGGTGGAGCCGCTATGCGAGGTGAGTGGCCGATCGATTGATCCAATCGATCCGATTGATGAGCGGGATTTCTACTAGATCGGTGTGTTGCGGAGATTGGTGAGCCAGGAGCTTGGCCTAGTGGAGGATTCTCAAGTGAATCGACTGAAGCTCGTGTTTAGAGGCAAGGCTCTCGGTGCTGCTGATGATTACTCCACTGTCGACATTCGAGCTGGAGGTGAGACTATGGACATTTTTTAACTCTTGTTTCTTTCTTGAGTGGAATTCATCGTTTTTTTCTTCTTCTTCTTCCTTTTAGACTCGTTGCTGGTGCTTCTTCCACCCAAGGCGCCTTCGGTGCACTCGCAGAGCAAAAACGAAGACGAGGATGATGACTTGGTACGAGAGTTTTTCTTGTTTTTTTTCCTTTGAGCAATCTTCTTGTTGGTTTTAAGTGTGTTTTGTGTGTGTCCAGAGATTCAAGCTTCCCGCGACCGCATCCCCGCTCGAGAGAAGACTCGTACAGTTCTTGAAGCACAAGCTCAAGTTTCCAGGTAGCTTGTCCTTTTTTATCATACATCAAGCGTGAGCATGGACACTGGTGTGATTTTTTCTCTGAGCAGACTTCGTGCTGATGATCATCTTCTCTTTTGGTTTCAGAAGATGGATGATGGTCCTGCTCTGGCTCATCGTCGCTGGCTACGCCATTTCGTGGGACTTGGGCCATCTCTACGTAAGAAACAGTGCTGTTTTGTGTGTTCTTTACTACTAACACCACTGTCGCAGATAATCGCAACGATCTTTTGTCTCATCGTTTGGAATCTGGGAAAGCGGCAAGAGGGCGACATCAGGTACGAAGACTTCTTCCATTCCATTCCAGATCACAAGGATACGTGCCGTGCAGTGCCTACTCAATCTTCAACGATGATTTTCACGAGATTCCGGGAACTTTCAATGCCGAGAGACTTGACCGCCATCTCAGAGCCGGGATGTATTGAAACAGCTCCAAGATCTTCCTTTCCAGACATAGCGCACTGAAAAATTCTAAGTTCCTTCTTTCCATTTGTTTCAGCTGAATGGAGCTTCCATGGTTTTTTTCTTCTTCTCTCTTTCTATCTTTCTTTTCTCTCGTCCCTCTCTTTGATTCCTATGCTCCACTAAAAAGCTGTACATAATAGAGTGAGTCTATACAAATTTCCCAACCGGGCTTGCCTGTCCCGCCAAAAAGACAATCCCTTGAAAACTCTGTATGTTGTCGCTCCTTGATCGCTCGTCGCTGGGCAGCTTACTCGCGACAAAGTTGCAAAGCCACCGGTGGCGATGAGCTCTCAACTCCGTATCTTGCCAGGAGCTGGATAAGTTTGTCTCTAGACAAAGGCTGCCACGGCAAAAGCGAGAGCATCAGCACTCCTGTCTGTCCACGAGCATTTACGTTTCCTTCCATACCTTTGTTTGAAACTCATTCACCCCGGCTTCGAAAAAGAGCTCCTTGTCCGACTGCAAAGCATTGCCAGTTAAGGCCACGATTGGAGTCTTCACACCCATCATCCTCAGAGCTCTAGTTGCCTGCCAGGAACTTACGTTAGCATACTTTGGAGAGAAAGGAAAACTCAGTTCTAAGAACTCTTACCTCGTGTCCGTCCATGACAGGCATTTCCTTGTCCATCAACACCAGATCGTAGGACTTGCCCTGCCTGTGCAGGTCGACAGCAATCTGGCCGTTCTCTGCCTCGTCGCATTGGAGATTGAGGTTCTGAAGAACCTTCCGCAAGATAATCTGTACGTACAGCCAAGATGATGGTAAGTAAAATGCGCACCGATATAGCCAAAGACGAGACTTACTCTGTTTATCCGCGTGTCTTCCACTAGCAGCACCTTTCTCCTGCACGGAGAGGCGTCTTGTGGCAGCACAGCACCCGGCGAACACTTGAGTTGGGCGTCAAGGTCACTGAGGCGTTCCAACTTTCGCTTCTCTTTGCTTACGGAGTCTGTAGACCTCATGTTATAGAAGATCCCAGAGGCCGGGACTGACGAGTTCGTGCGCTTTTGTATCGGAACCAGCAGAAATGGAGCGGAGAAGAAGAACGTACTTCCTTGGTCCCGCGAGCGTACCCCGATCTGACCACCAATCTGTTCGATGAAGCGTTTCGCAACACTTAAGCCCAGGCCGGAAACACCAGCTTTCTGGACCCAAGGAGACGATATGAAAGAGTCCGCTTCGAAGAGTCTGTCTTGGTCATCTAAGGAAATTCCTGTCCGAGCACCAGACTTTCAAGTCAGAACAAAACAAAGCATCGCGATCGCGAAGAAAGAAACGTTACCTGCGCCAGAGTCATTGACGGCAATAAAGAGCTCCAGGGACTTGTGCTCTAACTCGTCGGTCTCAAAGCCTTTGGAGTTTGAGACCGGGACCCCGTCGAGCTCTTGACACTTGATCTCCAGGTCGAGCTTTCCCCCGGTAGGCGTGAACTTGACGGCATTACTGAGAAAATTGCCTGCTTGCGCAGAGCGTGAGTGAGAGTCAGACGTGGAGGAGTTTGATTACCTAGCGTCTGTACAGTCCGGTGCTTGTCACCGACAATGTTGTGGGACTTCAAAATCTTGCTGGCGACCGGATCGATATCAATGTTGAGAGATATTTGTTTCTGCTCGAGCAAATCTTTCAAACCCCACGCCAGGAACTTCACCACCGCCAGTAAGTCGAACACATCTCGGTGAAGCTCAATGCGCCCCTCCTCCCAGTTTCCTGTGGATGACCGATCATTCGTTAGTTATGTCGAGAACAATCATAAGTAAAAGTCGAGACTCGAGTCGAGACATGGACACCTTACCCATATCAGTAACATCATCAAGCACGTTTGTCATTGTCTCGGCGCAGTCTAGCATTAGTTGCACCAAGTCTAGCTCCCCGGAACTGGAGTCATCCCCGGACGCTGAAGCACGCATGTGACCCAATCCCAGGACGATCGCATTGAAAGGGACTGCACGGAGAAGCCAAAGGTACGTCAGAAAATCACGAAATAGTTCTCGCACCATCTATACGGAAGAGCGAAAGAAAAAGAAACTTCTAGCCTAGCAACGAACTCACCTCTTATGTTATGGAACACATAAGCCATGAATTGTTGCTTGGCACGATGAGCTCGCTGGGCCAGCTGCTGCTCCTCCTCCTCTTGCTTGTCCTGGCTCACTACTCTACACCCGGAACACTGCCCTTGCACGCAAATCTCCCTGGAACTCGGCGGATCGCAGCGAACAAATCTCGTCCAAATCGCCAGTGACACCATCGCTGCCGGGACGGCCCAAACCAGTACCGCGGCCGGCGTCAAGTACCACACGAGCAAGATGGCCGAGGATAAAAGCAGTGCCAAAGTCACGACTAGCTTGTCCAGCCCTGTCCCTGTCCCTGACCCTGGGAGCGCCGTGTGAGACGATCCCAATTTCTCCGAGTGCGTGGACTCGATGAGGAGCTCCTCGAGGCGAGATCTCTTGTGTGACGTCTTGAATCTGTGCTTGAGCTGCTGCGCGCTGGACGCGAGCAATGCATGAGGCGACGAGGAGCTGCTCGTCGTGCTAGTGGTGGACGCGACCAGGAATTCATCCTTTTGGTTGCTACCGCTAAATGCCCTGGATACCTCCTTGAAGAGCTTCCCTGTCTCCACGGCCGGACTCGGCGATCCCTCCTGCATTACACCCGCCCTGGCCAGATTATGGATCGCTCCTCCTCCTCCCTGCTCCAATTCCAATCCTAGACGATTGCTGCTCCGATAATCCACCAGGCTCGACAGGACATCATCGGCGATGGAGAGGAGAGCTCCAATGCTCCGCGCGAGCATTGCGTCACGCATCACAGGCAGCTTCTTCCGCTTCGATCCCGCCCTTGCTGCCGCTTCCCATGCCAGAAAATCTCCGCGATTTCGCCCAAATCCACATACCTCTTTCCGTGCCGCCGATCGAGCCGCGCCGCGACTGCCGCGAGCGCCGCGCGATTGACGACCTGGCGGATGGATCGATCGATCGATGGAATCCTTGACGCCGTAGATGAGGAGCTGTCGATGCGACGCGAGAGAAAAGAGAAGAAAGAATGAACAAACAAACGAATGAATGCCAAAGCAAAGCCATCACACTGACTGATTAGACTGACGTATTCTGTCCGGTAAACGCTCCTCTGACACGTGTCGTGACCGCAGCCGTCGGTCGTCGGTTTGGCTCTGTCAGATTGACGAGCCCCCAGGATGGAGATATGATTCGCTGAAATTTCCATGGTTTTTAAATTATTTGCTGGGCGCTATAAAATCTTTGGCGGATTTGCTGAGGTCCCGGCGCCGGCAAACAACCTCCGGCGAGATCCTGGCGAATCTCGTCCACCACGACTGGGTAAAAACACGGTTTCTTACCGCGCGGTCAAAAGTGAAAAGCCGGGAGTTACATTGATTGATTTTCGCCTGGCTTCAAACACTAGGCAGGTACCTAAGCTGTATGATCGGAAACGAGAAGCTTAGAAAAATTTAGATGTCTAGTTTGGTCCGCCACCTTTTGTTGCGCAAAGATTTTGCCTTTTCGCTTTTGTTTTTTCAAAGATTTGGGATATGGTTGTGCGTGGCGGAAATTAGAGAGCTGGTCAATGTGGCCCAAGCATAACAATACAAAACCCATTTGACCCCACTTTCGTCACGAAGAATCCATACAAAAATCACGGCTGCGGAGTGTCTCTTCTCGACTCGCTCCAATTGTTGCGCATGAGCATGACCTTGGCACTGTTGGAAAGATTTGCGCAGAGATCTTGGCATATGATCATGATCCCGGCGCCAAACAAATCTCTCGCTTCTCTACTTTACAAATATGGAGATTGGGGGGATATTCGCCAAATTGGTATTCAATCTGGATTTGACATTGTGTTTGTCAAGTGTTCCTCACTCCTCCCGTTTGCGCCAGCCGGCACCCACGAAACAAGAAAACTAAACGATTCCGGATCTCCCCTCCAGCGAAGCCAAGGATTCCCGGGCGGGGAATATGCCCTGGTCCGTGGTCAAAGGTGAAAAACGCACGGGTGGTGTGGTAATTTTGGTAAATCTTTCTTAAATTTGGCGTCGCCACAGGCCCTAGGTGGATTTGCAAGCTTTCTAGGAAGTTGGCGCCACCAAATTGTCGCCGCTGTTTTACCGCGCCCGGTTTTTTTCACCGCGGTTTTTACCACGACTCTAGCCCGCGAATAAGCGCTCTAGAGGAGACAATGGACGGACAAAGTGTTTTGGCGGTGCGATATGATTCGATGCTCTCTATCAAATCTTTTGTTGGAAAACCAGCACCCACATTTACAACAATTGTATGATTTTTATGTGTATAATGCACACAAGGTTGGTGGCACATCCAAAGATTGTCTCGAATCGCGGCGAGCGAAAACCACGCCCCCAATGCTCTTTTGGTGGCGCCACCGTTGCCCTAATTAGTTCCTGTCTTTCTGGACCACGTCCGTACGCCGCCGCGTCGTGACGTGTACGGCCCGCCCCCCTGTTCCAACGAGGCGGCTCCTTCTCTTCTTCCTCGCCGATGGAACAGTGCGCGGCTTCTTGCGACTCGCGACTTAGGGTTTCTCGGTGGGCACGGCAGGTAATCAATGTCTCGCTCGCCAGCCCGCGCGCATTGCATGGATCCACCCATCACTTTCTCTTGGCTTGTTCGCAGCTGCATTTCCACTCGGCACGCTTGATCTTCCGGCCTGGATCTTGTTTCCCTCGGCGATCTCCTCGAGCCTGTGACTGGGATCAAATGCGTTGTGTCGCTCTTGAGGATTAGGAATTCCATCCAGAGGGGGAAGGAATGAGCTACCGGAGAACTCGCGTTGGGAAGTATGAGCTGGGACGGACACTTGGAGAAGGTACTTTTGCCAAGGTCAAGTACGCCAGGAACTTGGAGACGAACGAGAGCGTCGCGATTAAGATCTTGGACAAGGAGAAGATTTTGAAGCACAAGATGGTCGATCAGGTAAAGCAGAAATGGTCGAGCTCGCTTTCATTGCTGGTCATCTTGACGAACTTTACAGATCAAACGCGAAATTTCTACAATGAAGCTGGTGAGACATCCCAACGTCATTCAGCTGTTTGAGGTAAGTAAGCTTATATTTCAACCATTTCCCAAAGCTCTTCTTTTTTGGTGGTGAGACTTTCCTTTACAGGTTATAGGCAGCAAGACCAAGATTTATATGGTTATGGAATATGTCACAGGTGGAGAAATGTTTGACAAGATCGTAAGGCATCTGACAGTTTTTCATTAAAGAATGACATAGATTTCTTTTTATTTCTTTTTCGTCCAGGCGCGAGAGGGAAAGCAAGATGAACGTAAAGCCCGAATATATTTCCAGCAACTGATCGATGCTGTGGATTATTGTCACAGCAGGGGTGTCTGCCACCGTGACTTAAAGGTGATTCTCGAAAGAAACGAACTGATATTTGTAGAGCTCTCGACTTAGAAGCGTTTGTTTTGGCAGCCAGAGAACTTGCTATTGGATTCAGATGGAAACTTGAAAATCTCAGACTTCGGTCTAAGTGCCCTTCCTCAACAGTGCCGAGTTAAGTTCACCATAAGAGAACTCGCTCATTAAATTAGTGAATGATTTTACAGTCGGATGGCCTTCTTCATACAACGTGTGGAACGCCAAACTACGTAGCTCCCGAGGTAACTGCGTTGCTTGTTGTTTTAGCTTGTGTGAACTTATCGTTCTACAGGTCATCAGTGACAAAGGCTACGACGGTTTCAAAGCCGATATCTGGTCTTGCGGAATTGTTTTATACGTCCTCTTGGCTGGATACTTGCCATTTGACGAGCCTAATCTGGTGGCACTGTACAAGAAGGTATGAAAACATCTGTTTGGTTGTTTTTCCTGTTCAGCTGACATGAATTAAATGCGAATTAGATGCATCGCGCAGATTTTACATTTCCGCATTGGTTTTCAAGGGGCTCCCGAAAGCTTGTACAAAAGATACTGGATCCAAATCCGAAATCAGTAAGAATTAAATTGGCATCATTGATGTAGTAATATTTGCTTGTGCTGGTCTCTCTCTCGCCCTTTTCCGAATTTGTGCGTCAGCGCATATCCATCTCCAGGATAATGGACAATGAGTGGTTTCAAGTCGAACACAAACCAATGACACTTGGAAAGGAACAAAGTCCCAACCTTGACGACATTGATGCGGTGTTTAATGGCTCTGAGGTAGGACGGCGTGTCTGGCAAATTGACATGAAAGAGAACTGAAATTTTCTTGCAGGATCATCTTGTGGCGGAGAAAGAGGAGCCACAACCAGTCACCATGAATGCTTTTGAGATCATATCGATGTCGCGAGGATTCAACTTGTCAGGCCTTTTCGAGCATCGTGTAAGTATCCTCAAGCATTTATCTTTCCTCTCTATAGAGATGCTCACGATCGCGTAACTTGTTGTAGGAGGTGGAACGCGAGTCACGGTTCACATCGAAACATCCTGCGAAAGAGATTGTGAGAACAATAGAAGAAACTGCGAGACCGCTGGGGTTCCATATCCAGAAGAGGAACTACAAGGTATAGTTCTAAAAAGGATTGCATGAGTTGGACAAGCACTTTCCTTCAGATGACGCTGCAAGGGTCAAAGCGAGGTAGGAAAGGCCATCTTTCGGTGTGCACGGAGGTAAAGCGTTTTGGTTCTCATTCTCTCGTACAAAAGCTCTGCTCTCAGGTCTTCGAAGTTGCACCGTCTTTTTACGTGGTGGAGCTACGGAAATCTGGTGGCGATACACTCGAGTATCACAAGGCAACTGTTTGACTCTTCTTTATTTCTCTTCCTCGCCATCAACATTAACAATATGCTGTCGCTGCGCAGTTCCACCAGTCGTTCACAACGGGACTCAAAGACATCATCTGGAAAGATCAGACGTAAACCTTCGTAAGCAACTTTCTCCTTTTCTTTTTGGTTTGAAACTATACAAGCTTGCCAGGCAGGAACCATCCCAGTCTAAATTACAACTTACATCCCGTGCTACGGAAGGCTATCAAAGAGCGACCCCTCCAAGCCTTCCGAGTAAATGGCTCGGACTCCAGGAGAAAGAGAAGGAGGTACTTAAGTGCTTGATTTTGGAATACTAAACAACTGGAATCTCTCCAGACGAGACGAGCAGTACGAGAGAGCGAGAGAGAAGCAAGACTCAGACCCAAGGCTTGAATTGAAGCAAGGCCGCGGCGAGAAAAGCAAGGACATCGCTTCAGTGGACACAGAGGTATTACTCCCTTTTCAGATGCCTCCTAGAAACAAAGAATAGTTTTTCCATCTCTTCTATCAGTTTTTTTTTTTTTTTTCCTCGGCCTCTCTCTCTCCCATTCATGCTTTGTCGCGTCTCATGCATTTGTTTGTACGTAGCACGTAGGTATATTTCTTCCTTTTCTTTCTCGTACTCTTTTCTTCGACTATTTTTCCTTTTTTTTTTTTTTTGGCTTCATGGTGGAGCTACGGCTCTGCCACACGGAAGCATACGTCTTGTGGTTTGGATTTTGTCTCGGCGCTTTTCTTCGTCTCTCCCTCGGTGTGATTTGCTTTGCTTCCACTCTGGGAAGGAAGAAAGTGAGCTGTGACTGGGCTGTATGAGAGCGTGAATTAACGAATCCAGGACATGATCGACAGGACCAAGTTGTGGATTCAACCAAAGGAATCTGCGACAATCCCAAATCTTGCGCTGCAGGATGAGATCACCCAAGCGCTGAGCACGATGATGCGATGAATGAGATCATGTGTCTGTGCTGCTTTGCTTGATTGCTAGCTTGCGTCTTGGCTCGCTTGGTCGCTTGTCTTGGCTTGCGGCTATGGAGGATGTATGCTTCCTCGTAAATCTGGTGGCACGATCGATTATATGTTTTGGATCAAGTCAGAGCATCAGCCACCACGTTGTTTCGCTGGAGGAAAAACTAAAGTTTCTATCACCTTGCCTATGAATCAAGGAGTTGAGTGGTCACACCCGTGAAGAAAGAAAGCGAATATCGAATAATATAGGTAGCTTTGGTTGAAATAAAGGAATCTCTCGGCTTTTGTTGAGAGAAAAAAGAATCTTCCGCTCTCTCGCTCTCTCTTTCTTGCTTTTTTTTCTCTTCTTCTCTCTCTCTCTCTCTCGGCTTTTGTTGAGAGAAAAAGGAATCTTCCGCTCTCTCTTTCTTGCTTTTTTTTTTCTCTTCCTCTCTCTCTCTCTCTCTCTTTGTTTTGCCGCGTTCGCTCGCTCGGATCATAGACTAGGTAGGGCGGGTGGTGGCAGAAATTTCAAAGTCTTTGCCAGGATTCCCACCAGGAATAATGTTTGCGATTCTATAAGGTTGAGGTTGTTTGGTTTGTTTGAGTGTGGTTTGTGATTATCTCATCATACACCCGCGATAACTCATATGCCAATCATTCGCAATGGACGCATCACTCCCACCCTTGGCCGCGAGTGCTTTGCACAAGATTTTTTTTTTTTTAGCAAGTGTCGCTGGGAGATCTCCTTCGCCACACTCGCAGACTTTGCTTAGATAATCTATGCCACAGAGCGAACTCTTGTCAGCATTCTCGAGCAACCAAAGAGCACGAGAGCGATCGATCGATTGTTTACATTGTCTGCTAAGCGGGAAAAGCGAGAGAGTTACACTCGATCGAGAGCGAATTGCTTGCGAGGGGTGGAGCATCCGGATGCTCGTGGACAGCGAGATCGCCAAGGCGAGACCACGCTCGCATGGATATAATTCGCATATGAGGAACAGCTATACCGCGGGGTTTATCAAATCGCGATTTGATAATCAATCAATCACCCTCTCGTGTGGTGCAAATAACTTACGCATAGATCATCCTCTAGATCCACCCCGCAAGGGAGATCTGCAGCGAGGAGAGAGCGATTAGAGGAATATTTATGCGCGCCTTTCACTTTCGTGATTGTTGGTGAAGCATTGTCAAGAGAGGGTCCATGGCAAAGCTTAAACAATGGAAAAAGAAGAATGTGGCTAATCAAGCTCTTGGGCCGCGTAGCTAGAGCGGAGAGGAGCGAGAGCTACAAAACCTGGAGAAGGAAGAAGCGCTGCGCAGGATTGGATTGGAGGAGCGCAGGATTTGCTCCGCGTTTTCTACGAGTTATTTCTTTGATTCTTTCACCGCGCCGCGCCTCTCTCTCTCTCTCTCTCTCTCTCTCTCTCCGGGAGCGCGAGAGAGCTAGAGCATGATGGGCGATTCCACAGGGCCGCCAGCGTCCGCGCAGAGCTGGGAAATCCCCGAGGTTGCCGCGGATTCCAGCTTCGCGGATGGTGTGGCGTCGCGGGATGTCAAGCTCGGCGGTGGCGATGGTCGTGTGTGGGTCAGGCTCTATCTCCCCGCGGCGGCGCTCCAGATCAATTCCAAGCGCAAGCTCCCCATTGTGGTCCATGTCCACGGCGGAGGATTCGTCCGATTCAGCGCCGCCACGTCCTCGTACCACGATTTCTGCAAGAAGGTAGCCACTGATGCCACTGCTCTTGTTGTCTCGCTCAACCACAGATTGGCGCCGGCCTCGTGCCTCCCCGCCGCCTACCAAGACCTCGTCTCGGCGCTCCACTGGCTCCGAGCCCAAGCTCTTCTCTCCACCAGCGATGGCGATGGTGGCGATGCTGCCAGCGCTACTGTGGATGGCAATGGTGATAGTCATGATCACCACCACCAGATCACGAGCTTGCGCGATGGTGGCGACCACCATCTTCCTCAAAGGGATCCCTGGCTAGCCTCGTATGCCGACTTCTCCAGCTTGATCTTCATGGGCGGAAGCTCTGGCGGCAACATTGTCCACAACGCGCTCCTCATGGTGCTCGAGTCGTCCAAGAGCAAGCGCGCGCTCCTCCCTCCTCTCAGCTTCGCCGCCCAGATCCTCCTCCAGCCATTCTTTGGTGGCGCGCACAGGACCGCCTCGGAGCTCCGCCTCTCCGACGGCCCCATCCTCACGCTCGCCATGAGCGACCAGCTGTGGAGCCTTGCGCTCCCGGATGGCGCGTCGCGCGACCATCCCTTCTGCGATCCTCTCGCGGCCGCGCAGCCGCTGCCATGCAATCTCCCGCCGGCGCTGGTGATCGTGGGCGGGCGAGACTTGCTCCACGACCGCCAGGTCGCCTACGCGGATTTCTTGCGCGAGAGCGGCGTGGAGGTGAAGCTCGTAGAGTATCCGGACGCGACGCATGGATTCGTCACGCCCGATGGAACCGTGAGCTACGTGTTCATGCCCGAGGTGCTCCAATTCATCCGCTCCAGCGCCATCGCTCCCCGAGCGTCGCCAGCTTTGACATGATCGCGATGGTATATTTATATATGTGGCTCCTCGCCAAGCTTCCCTTTCTCGACAGTACGTGATGGTGATGAACTGCCTCTTTCCTCGCCGATCGCATCGCCCATCACTGTGAGGATCCAAGAACAAAAAAGAAAGCTGGGTGCTGCTCATGATAAAACGATTGATCGTAGTACTAGTGGGACTTTGCGTTTGTAAATAAAAATGGAGGCTTTTCTTTTCTTCTACTTTGTGTCTTTTCACTTAGTGTTCTCTTAATGATCTTACTGATTCGAGCGATGGTTTTGGCGTGTGCTCTTGTTTCGATGCTGCTGGCCTACTTCTCTCCCGCTCGAATCCCACCGGAGAGCTTGTCCTTGGATCTTTAAGCTTGAGCCTTCCCTCTTGTCTCTTGCCAGCGTCACTACCTCGGACCGAGACGCACAGAAGTTTGGCATTTTGTCTATGCCGTCCTTCCTTTGGCGTCCTTCCATGGAAGAGATGCAACTTTGGCTCTCTAAGTTCGTCGCTTCGCCAGAGAGCGATTCACTGTCTTGCGTACTTCTTTGCGGAGTATAGATTGGAGATGAGAACGTAGGATCCACAGCTCCCGGACCTCATCTCGAGCACACTCTGTGCAACGCTAGAACTTTCCTGTCTCGAGTCACCTTGTGTTCCACAAGCCGAAAGTAGCGTCGCCCACGCAGGAGTCTCCGGGACAAACGGCATGTTTTGGATGAGATCCTTGGCCTCGGCCAGTCTCCCTGCGCGGCTCAGGAGATCCAGAATGGACCTGAAGTGGCCGGCTTGAGGACGCAGGCGGTGGTCGAAAGTCATTGCCTTGAAGTGGGACAATGCGTCTTTCAGCATCCCTGCGTGACCGCAAGCGGAAACCAAGCTCAAGTATGTCACCTCGTTTGGCTCCCAGCCATCGAGAAGCATGAGATAGAGGTGGCCAAGAGCCTCCGCTACGCTCTTGTCTCTCAGAGTCCTCCATTGGTTTCTATTACGATCGTTGAGCAGCCGAGAGTATCCCAGCTCGGCCATCGCATCCAGCCTTCCGATTTGCGAGACGGCTTGTATCATAGCGTTCCAAGATACCAAGTTCTTCTCCGGCATGACCTCAAACACTTTCCATGCTTCTTGGAGATGCCCATTTTGCGCATATGCCGTTCCCATGGCAGTCCAAGAGACTGAGTCCCGGAACGGCATTTGCTCAAACATGCTGCGTGCTTCATCAAAGTTTCCGTTTTGTGCGTAAGCCAGAACCATGACATTAAAGACGACCAGGTTGTGCTCAGGCATCATGTCGAACAAAAACTTGGCCTCTCCAGCATGCGCATTTTGGGCATATGCGGTGACAATGCTACACCAAGCTACAAGATCAAAGAGAGGCATCGTGTCAAAGTATCCCCTGGCTTTCTCCGGGTTTCCTTGCTCACCACACGCGGCGATCATAGCAGTCCACGACACAACATTCTTCTCCAGCAGCGTTTCAAACATCTTCTCCGCTTCTTCTACATAAGAATTCGTCGAAAATACCTGGAGCATGGTGTTCCACGACATGGTGTTCCACACCGGCATGCCATCAAAGATGGTCTTGGCAGCCCTCACCTCTCCAATCCTCCCAAGAGCCGAAATCAAAGCGGTAAAGGATGCCTCGTCTTTCGCTGGCATTTCCTCAAAGATTTTACGCGCCTCTACAATATGCCCCGCTTGGGCATATGCTGCAAGAATGGTGTTCCAGGAGACACCATCTTTGTAAGGCGTTTGATCAAACACGGCACGAGCGTCCTCAACGTAGCCGTTATCGGAGAGCGCCGCGATCATTATATTCCACGAGATTGTGTTGGGCTCATAGACCTCTCGGAACGCCTGCCTTGCGCTCTCTACATCCCCGCATTTGCCATACATCTCTACCAACAAATTGCCCAAGTATCTGTTCCTCCGAAACTCGCTGCCCAGGACGCGCTCGTGGAGTTGTCTCCCCTGGCGTGTATCTTGGCAAGATCGGATGAGCGATGCATAGTGCTCGATGCGCTCTTGCCTCGCAAGCATTTGACACAATCATATCTTAGTATATGGCACAAGAGATTGCGAGAGGCATCCACCATTCTTGGATGAATCGCTATCGCCCACGCGCTCGAGAGAAACAATGCAATCCATCGAGGAGCTCGCGAGGTTTGGGTCCCTTGTCAGATCATGCGGCAATTCCAAGGACCTCGACCGAGGACGATGTGTTCACGCACAGATCAATGCTAGCGAGCACAGATCAAACAGATACCTCGGAAATCTTTTGGTAGACATGTATGGAAGGTGTGGGCAGCTCGAGCAAGCATGGCTGGTGTTTCACCAACTTTACAAGCCCAACGTTTTCTCCTGGAACATCATGATGTCTGCACTTGCCCAGAATGGGCATTTGGGACAAGCGAGGTCTATGTTTGATTCGATGCCTCAAAGAGATCTTGTTTCTTGGAATACTATTATAGCCGCGTATGCTGACATTGGAAACTTTGATCAAGCAAGCACGCTGTTTAAGGACATGCCGGAGAGGGATGTTGTATCATGGACTGCCATGGTTTTAGCATATGCCAAAGGCGAGGATCTGGAAAACGCAAAACTTCTGTTTGATTCAATGCCTGTTCGGAATGAAATAACGTACAACGCAATGCTGCAAGGCTACACACTAAACAAAGAGATTTCAAAGGCAAGGGATACTTTTGAGAAAATGCCCGAACATGGTACCGTCGCATGGAATGCCATTATCACAGCAAATGCCGCAAGTGGGCATTTCGACATTGCGAAGCAGATCTTTAGTGAGATGCCAGAGCAGGATCTAATAGCCTGGAACAGCATGCTTGCGGCACATTCGCAAGATGGCGATGGCGACAGGAGGCTGAATGAAGCGATTGAGTTTTTCGAAATGATGCCAGAGAGGGACGAGGTGTCTTTCACTACAATGCTAGTAATTCTGTTGAGAAGCAGCAAGCTAGATGATGCCAAGGCGCTGTTTGATCGAATGCCCGTGTGGAATGGCATTGCTTGCAATGCAATGGTTGAAGGCTACGCGAAGAACAACCACCTTGGAGCTGCCATGACGCTGTTTGACAGCATGCCCGCCAGGGATATAGTGACGTGGACGTCCCTGGTGGCAGGCTACTGCGACCACGGACACGTGGAACAAGCCCGAGACATCTTTGACTCCATGCCCGTCCGTGACCAAGTGACGTGGACTACCATGCTGGCGGCATATGCCCAAGTCGGGCATGTAGAGGAAGCCAGGAGTTTATTTGTAGAAATGCCGTGTCAAAGTCTGGCAGCGTGTAACGCTATGAACTTCGCTTACATCCAAGCGGGATTCTTAGACGTTTCAAGGAAAGTTTTTGATAGCATGCACGTAAAAGACAGCATTTCATGGTCATCCATGATAACTGCGTATTCTCGAAGCGGGCATCACACTGAGGCCAGGAAGCTCTTTCGAATGATGCCGGAGCGCACGGTGGTGGCATGGAACATGATGCTGCAGGTCTACACGCGACGAGAGGATTCCAGTCGGCCGCAGGAGCAGCAGCGACGCAGGGAGCGGAGTTTGAAGCGCGTGAGGTGTGTTCTTGAGCTCTTCCAGTTGATGAAGCTGGACGGCTGGGATCCCAACGAGATCACACTGCTCAGTCTCATCTCGGCCTTGGGACACGAGGGATTCTTCGGTTTGGCATGGCGGCACTTCGTGTTCATGGACCTGGATTACGGCTTGGATGCCCGAGCCAGCCATTTCCGCTGCATTGTCGATCTTCTTGCTCGAGCTGGGCAGCTTGACGAGGCTAAAGGGCTGATCGAGAGCATGCCATACGTTCCAGAGCTCAAGAATTGGGCCACTCTCCTCTCTGCGTGTGATATCCATGGTGACACGCAGCAGGGAGCGGCTGCTGCAAGGAATGCCGTCGGAGTCGATGAGCAAAACCGGTTGCCATACATTCTCCTGTCAAATGCCTTGAAAAGAGTATGTCAACTATGAAAGTTTTCTGTCACCTGGTTCTTCGCCAGAGCTGCATTGCTTGGCTCAGATGGAAATCCATCCTTGGCTTCGGTCCAGTGATCGAGGACGAGGTGAAAATGCTGTTTTCCTTGATATATCCCAAAGTCCGCGTACATTGAAAGGAATTGTCTCCTCCCTTCAGATGCGCTTCTTCTGCGGCTGCACACGATTAAAACCAGATGAAAAGATGTCTCGTTAGGCAATTCATTCATCTTCATGAGACTAAACAGCTCCATCGCTGCTACAGAGTTACCACTGTATGTGTATGCGGCTAACATGGAGTTCCATGAGACAACAGACTTCTCTGGCATTCTATCGAATAGAAACTTGCATTTCTGGTCAAGTCCATGTTGGGCATAAGCGAAGAGCAATGCACTCCAGGAAGCAGTATCACGGCATGGCATCTCATCAAAAACTAATCTCGAGCCCTGCAATCCACCAAATTGGCTGTTTGCAACCAGAATGGAGTTCCAAGACATCACACTGTGAAATGGCATGGATTCAAACAACCGCTGGGCCTCAACCAGGTAGCCGTTTTGGCCAAACGCAGTAACCATTACATTCCAGGAAACCACATCCCTCTGTGCCATTTTGTCAAAGACACACTTAGCTTCTTCCAAATGACCAGCGTGGGCATAAGCTACGAGCATTTCCGTCCAGGCAACGAGATCCTTCATAGGCATTGAATCAAATACCTTCTTTGCGCTCTCAAGATGACAGTTTTGGGCATAAGCAGCTAGCATAGCATTCCATGTCACCAGGCTTCGCACCGGCATCACTTCAAACACCTGTACAGCCTCGTCCAGCCGCCCGCTTTGACCGTATGCGCTCACCATGGTGTTGCAAGCTATGAGATCACTCTGGGGCATTTTCTGGAACAACTTGGCGACGGCGTCAACAAGCCCACGCTGGGCATATGCAGCAAGCATGGTAGTCCAAGTAACCATGTTTCGCTCTGGCATCCGATCGAAACAAAACCTTGCCCTGTCAACCATCCCGGCTTCGCTGTACGCCGCAAGAATAGCAGTACATGACACAAAGTCACGCTCCGGCATCTTGTCGAATATCTCCTTCGCTTCCGCCAGACACCCGTTTTGGGCATATGCAGTCAGCATCGCGGTCCACGACACGATGCTTCTCTCTGGCATCTCCTCGAAGAGGATCTTAGAATATTCTAGCCGGCTGTGCTGCGAGAGAGCCGACAAGAGTGCGGTGTAGGAGACAATGTCCCGTGCCGGCATGTCGGCGAAGAGGAGAGCCGCTTCCTGGAGGTGCCCGTGCCGCGTGTAGGCCGACAGGAGAGTGTTCCAGCACACGAGGTTGCTCTCTTGCATGGAATCGAACAAGATCCTGGCATCGTCAAGGAGCCCATTCTCCACAAACGCGGGAAGGATAGCTGAGAAAGAGATGATGTTGTGATGCGGCATTGCATCAAACAACTCTTTCGCTGTGTCAAGATGCCCGGCTTTGGCATATGCAGAGAGCATAGTGTTCCAGGACACTAGAGTCTGTTCCGGCATCTCTTCAAACAGTTGCCTTGCAGCTTGTAGATTCCCAGCTTGGACGTAGACAAGCAACATGACATTCCAGGACGCTGGAGATCGATCTGGCATGTTCTCAAACATGCGCTTGGCGTCTTCTGGATGCCCGTTGCGAGTGTAGACAGAGAGCATCGCGACCCACGAAACCGCGTCTTTGGCATTGGTGGCATCGAACACCCTGCGTGCATCGTCGATGCTCCCACACCGGCCGTAGACCTCGATCAGCTTGTTGGCGATGGCCGCGGAGCTGTGGACGTTTCCTTGGATGCGGGAATGGATGTCCTTGGCCACGGACAGTGTCTTGCAACGATCGAGCAGTGCCAGGCACTCGCTGGCTTCCATAAGTCTGGAGAGGGAGAGAGAGAGAGAGAGAGAGAGATTCTTTCACACTAGAAGATGTAAAGAGACCATAAGTCTAGCTAGCTCTTCTTGAAAACTTCGATAAAGGAGCTGGGTGGCTGGGCGCCAGAGAGTTGATACTTGCCATTCACCTGTAGAGGACGACGAAAGTTTAGTGATCACCATCAAAGTTTAGAGTTGTGCTTACTAGAAAATGCGGGACACCATTCACTCCAGTGCCATATTTTTTGAGTTGTTCCAGGACCTGCGCAACAGTAGAACATCGCGACGCTGAAGCCTTGGAGATAAAAGAAACAAACAAACCTCCTTGAGGCCGGCATTAGGATCAGCGAGAAACTCGCTGGCCCCCGTGACTCCAACTTTGTCCGCGGCATCCACCAGAACTTGCCTGATCAAACGAGACCATGTCAGCTCAACCGAGATCTCACAAATCTTCGCCGAGGGAGAAGAAGAGAAACCTGTCACCGATGTATTTCTCTTGAGTCAAATAGTTGAGGAAGAGCTCCTCGACAAGCGCGTTCTGCTTGTCATAGCCTTGACGTCCAGCCAGTTCGATAAGCCTGTGGCTGTCCAGAGTGTTTCCCCTGTGGAAATCCCACAAAGTTAACACACACACAAAGATTAAAGCGTGATGATCTTTACGTGAGGCCGCCAAAGTTGATTTCGAGTCCAACATCCTCAAACACCTGAGAACCAATTTATCATCTTAGACTTACTAATAAGCATTTGCTAGATCATCACAGTAAAAAAAACCTTGCTCAATCGGCCCACGATAGAAGAAAATCGACCTTCTCCAAACTTGGACTTGTAATAAGCAAGCTTATCAACACCCTCGACGGGGGCGCTGGGATTCAGCAAGTAGGGACGCCATCGAACCTGCGTGATTGGATCGAAGCGTTCTAAGACTCGAGAGGAGGAATGAATCCAACCAGTTACCTCGAAGTCGTATTCGTCTGCCGAGGCCTCGATTGCCCGCTCCAAGTTCTTCTTCCCGATGTAGCACCAGGGGCACACCGTATCCGACGTGACATCGATCTCCACAAGCTTTCTTCTAGGCATCCTTGGCAGAATTAGAGATAGCTACCTGGTGGGCGAAAAAAGCAAGGAACCCTACCCTCTCCTTTGCGATTCCAGGCTTCCATGTCTCCCTCGAGAAGTGTTCTTTTCCGCCCATTGGAACCTGCAAGGAAGTCGGCGATCGGAGAATATGCCTGGTATCAGCGGCTGGTAAGATCAAACGGGGATGTAGCTCAGATGGTAGAGCGATCGCTTCGCATGCGATAGGTAAGGGGATCGATGCCCCTCATCTCCATTTCTTTTGGCCACGAGCTCATTTCTATGATGTGGTTTTCTTTTGGCATTTTTTACATTTCTATGATGTGGATTTTCTTTTGGCATTTTCTACACAGGAACTAGTCTTGAGTTTCAAACCTTTCATTGTCAAAGTGGTGAGCAGCAACGATCAATGCGGCATAAAAGTCCTCGTATGGAAAATACGATCGAGCAGCCTTTTCTTCTGGATTGCCGGGTGTCGAGCTAGAAAAGGAGAGACTGGCCAGGATTTCCTTTCGTTCATTCAATGCCCGCAATCGACTCCTACATTGTGAACCTTGATCTCAGGTCTTGCTTGCGACGTCAAGATCTTCTAAGAAGATCGATCTTCTTAGAAGAAAGACGGATCCTTTTGAAAATCTTGGATTTAGCCTTTTGGCAGTCCTGGAGACACTTCCAGAATGGTCCAGCATGCTTTCTAGTCGCAGAATCAAATTATTTACTTCAGAATCGTTCACAACTGGAAGCCAGGAGGGCGCACATATGCGCTAATTCCCTGTGTTTATTGGCAACCAACAAAAGCTCTCAAACTTCCTCAACAAGCCTGTGCTTATTTTGCAGGGGTCCCGCTGCACTTCAAAACTGCCCCTGAGCGCTTTGTGAGCGCCTTGAGAAGATTGCGGAGAGAAGACTTCGATGGTGGAAACAAATTGCTACTCAAAGCCAACGAGATCCCAATCTACACATCCGTATCTACTTCGACGTCCTCTTCTTACAACCTGATGAATTTGAAAACTTGTTAAAACTAGGAACTGTGGTTCTATAGATTTCTCACCTGAAAATCAAATGCTCCTTAGCTCCTAGTACGAGGGTGGAGGTGGAGATTTATACACGTAAGGAGGTGATTGATACTCCGGTGGCGGAGGCGATTTGTAGTAATAAGGTGGTGGGGGTGGTGACTCGTATTTGTAGGGAGGTGGAGGAGGGGATTCATACTTGTATGGAGGCGGTGGAGGTGATTCATACTTGTACGGAGGTGGAGGTGGGGATTCATACTTGTAAGGTGGTGGTGGTGGTGACTCGTATTTGTAGGGAGGTGGTGGTGGCGACTCATACTTGTATGGAGGCGGTGGAGGAGATTTGTAATAGTAAGGTGGTGGTGGTGGTGACTCGTATTTATAGGGAGGTGGTGGCGGGGATTCATATTTGTAGGGAGGTGGTGGAGGGGACTTGTAGTAGTAAGGTGGAGGAGGAGGCGATTCATACTTGTAGGGAGGTGGAGGTGGGGATTCATATTTGTATGGCGGGGGTGGCGGAGACTTGTAGTAATAAGGTGGAGGGGGCGACTTGTATTTGTAAACTGGGGGTGGCGGAGACTCGTATTTGTAGACTGGTGGTGGTGGCGACTCATACTTGTATGGAGGCGGTGGAGGAGATTTGTAATAGTAAGGTGGTGGTGGAGGTGACTCGTATTTGTAGGGAGGTGGTGGCGGGGATTCATACTTGTAGGGAGGTGGCGGCGGGGATTTGTAGTAATAAGGAGGTGGTGGTGGAGATTCATACTTGTACGGAGGAGGAGGTGGAGACTCGTACTTGTATGGAGGTGGTGGCGGGGATTTGTAGTAATAAGGTGGTGGCGGGGGTGACTTGTATTTGTAAACTGGCGGTGGTGGAGATTCATACTTGTACGGAGGAGGAGGCGGTGACTCGTACTTGTATGGAGGTGGCGGGGGGGATTTGTAGTAATAAGGTGGTGGTGGTGGAGATTCATACTTGTACGGAGGAGGAGGTGGAGACTCGTACTTGTATGGAGGTGGCGGTGGGGATTTGTAGTAATAAGGTGGCGGCGGAGGTGACTTGTATTTGTAAACTGGTGGTGGTGGAGATTCATACTTGTACGGAGGAGGTGGTGGCGACTCGTACTTGTATGGTGGTGGTGGAGGGGACTTGTAGTAATAAGGTGGAGGTGGCGGGGATTCATACTTGTATGGAGGTGGTGGTGGTGACTCGTACTTGTATGGTGGTGGTGGCGACTTGTATTTGTAAACTGGGGGTGGCGGAGACTCATATTTGTAGACTGGAGGTGGCGGGGATTCATATTTGTATGGAGGTGGTGGTGGGGACTTGTAATAGTAAGGTGGTGGAGGTGGGGACTCGTATTTGTAAGGAGGAGGCGGCGGCGATTCGTATTTGTAGGGAGGTGGTGGTGGGGATTTGTAATAGTACGGTGGAGGGGGCGGGGATTTGTAATAGTATGGAGACGGTGGTGGGGGCGACTTGTAGTAATACTTAGGCGGAGGTGGAGGTGGGGACTTGTAATAGTATGGTGGTGGAGGCGGGGATTTGTAATAGTAGACCGGCGAAGGAGGAGGAGGGGATTTGTAGTAGTAAACCGGTGAAGGAGGAGGTGGCGATTTGTAGTAGTAGACCGGAGGTGGCGGAGAGGCGTAATGGTAGACCGGTGTTGGTGGCGGAGGTGACTTGTACTCATAGGGAGGTGATGTGTAGAAGCAGACTGACGATGGCTCTGGAGTTGCATAGATGAAAGGACCGGCTGTCAAGACGAGCTCCTTCTCTGTTTTCGATTTGAACTTGAGCTTGGCCCCTGTTGCACCAGACCTGTAGTCCGTGATGACATTGCATGACGACTTGATGTAGCTGCTCTTGATAATCTTGGCCTTGCAGCTGCTTGCTTCTTCCCAGGATTGGTGCGGGAGCTCAATTCTAAAGATTCCATGCTTGTTGGTGTAGCCGTAGTAGTAAGATTCGCCACATGTGATCTTCACTTTGCCACCTGCATTATTGCACACAGTATCAAGAGGAAATGAGTGAGGAGAACAATATCGAATACAATGCAATTGAGAATGTACCTAGCAGACCCATGTGGTGATGCCTGAAGGTATCTGCTTGTGGTGTTCCAGCATCTGTTGCAATAGACCTTGCCCGTGACCACTACCAGCTTGTAACTTGGTGGGGGTGGCGATTGGTAGTGGTAAGCTGGAGGTGGCGGGGATTTGTAATAGTAGACAGGCGGTGGGGGAGATTTGTAGTAATACGCTGGTGGAGGAGGAGATTTGTAGTAATATACTGGTGATGGAGGAGGTGGTGATTTGTAGTAATATGGTGGCGGAGGAGGAGATTTGTATTTGTAAACTGGAGGTGGTGGTGGTGGAGACTTGTAGTAATACGGCGGTGGTGGTGGAGACTTGTAATAGTATGGAGGTGGAGGAGGAGATTCGTACTTGTAAGGTGGTGGTGGTGGAGATTTATATTTGTAGACAGGAGAAGGTGGTGGTGGTGATTTGTAGTAGTAAGGTGGTGGCGGGGGTGGAGATTTGTAGTAATATGGAGGTGGAGGGGGAGATTCATACTTGTAAGGAGGTGGTGGTGGTGATTTGTAGTAGTATGGTGGGGGAGGAGGCGATTCATACTTGTACGGAGGTGGAGGAGGCGACTCGTACTTGTATGGTGGTGGCGGTGGCGATTCGTACTTATATGGTGGTGGAGGAGGCGATTCATACTTGTATGGTGGTGGCGGCGGCGATTCATACTTGTATGGTGGTGGCGGCGGCGATTCATACTTGTATGGGGGCGGCGGAGGTGATTTGTAGTAGTACGGTGGTGGAGGCGGCGACTCGTACTTGTAGGGAGGCGGAGGCGGCGATTCATACTTGTAGGGAGGAGGCGGAGGCGGAGATTTGTAGTAGTAAGGCGGAGGAGGTGGCGGCGATTTGTACTTGTAAACCGGCGGAGGGGGGGGCGGCGATTTGTACTCATAGACCGGCGGAGGGGGAGACTTGTACTCGTAAACCGGTGATGGCGGTGGTGGAGAGCTGTAAGTGTAAGTCTTGGTTTCAGCGCCTCCTTCAGCTTCTGCTAGTGCGGGCGTTGCAGCATTGCCCACGGTTGCCACCAAAGCCACGAATTGAATCACCGCGAGCCAGTGGAGCCGAGTGCCTCCACTCCTGGCTGCCATTCTGACAGAATCGAGCCCTCAGCTAGTCCCCTGGAATTCAATCCTAGAATGCTTGGAATGGTTCCACCTGCGATCAAGACAAAAGGCCACCTGAGAAAAACAAAAGAGGGATTCTAGTGTTGAATGCCAGGAAAGCAGAGCAAACGCGAAATCTTGCACTTGGCAGACCAAAAGCAGGCAATGCAGAGCAGGGAGGGAGTAGATCGCGGAGTAAAGAAAGTGGAATCGAGTCTTACTGCCTCTGCTGCGTGTGAGAAGGCGTGTCCGGAGATGGAAAAGATTCGGCGCTCTTATCAGCCTGGAACTAAGAGCTGGGGAGCTGTGGATGGTCTGCCAAGGTCCTTTCCCTTTTCCCTTCCTCAATGGAGGGAGAGAGGAGAGGATGGAGCAGACGAATTTCACAAGTGAGAGAGTGAGCAAAGCGAATAGGGTCTTATACTGCCTCTTTCAGTGCATGGCCATTTTTTCTTTCTTTGTGATGTTGTAGTTGGGGAATTTTCTTCTTGGTTCCTGTTATCTCACAGCTGGCATTGCTGGACCAGCATTGCTTACTGGCTATTGCTCCCTCGAGACTTTAGTAATCCCCATCTTTAGGGGCTGTGGAATATGCTCCCGTTCAAGATGCGTTTTGTTGTCTTGCTTTTGATGTTTTGTGGCACGGACAAAAGCTTTGCTTTACTTTGCAATTTTGTGAGACATGTCCATAGGCCCTGCTTTTGCGCTGGGTGCGCTCCAATTCAGCATGTCCAAAGTGTCTACTGTTTTTGTTTCTCTGATTATCCTGCTAAGCCAGCTCTAATTTGTGTGTTAGCAACAGGGACTTTTCTTTTCTTATGTTTTTTTCCTGCTTTCTTCCAGCTCGGAAGAAGAGAAAGTTAGTTGTGACCAACCCCGGAAATTGAATGGGCTGAG